ACCTTAATTTCTGCAATTGTCCGCAATATCGTAAATCGCAATTATTCCGCAATTGCCTATTTGTGGACCCATCCTTAGTTATAGTAGTTTAGAGAAACTAAGCCTTTTATGATATCGATGAAACAAAAGATAATAGATCATTAGCCTATGACGATATGCGTAACCTTCTAAACTAAAAACTCCAAATAGGAACTTCAAGGAGAAACTAGTTAAAGACTAAGTATAAGGATGTAGTAATAGTTTAAAGAACAATATAGTTATATTCTCTACATCTCTTCAAATATATATATATTATAGTTAAAGGACTATTGCATAGCGATTAGGTAGTTATTACTCAATTATTACAACAATATTACATAGAAAAGATGAGGAAATCATTACATAATTTTTATGCAATAAATAGCAATTTAGTGTAGCAATTTCATTATAAATAAGCTGAGTTTTTCATCATGTATCGACAGAAATTTAGGAAGTTAATTTTATAAGATAATAAAAACTCTTTGCTAAATTGTCTCATAATAAACAAACTGCTTTGTGTCAAACCTGCTTTGTGTTAACCTTGGTTAAGTAATATTGGATTACTTAATGTTATCAAATTGTTTTGTGTCAAACCTGCTTTGTATCAACTCTGGTTAAGTAATATTGGATTACTTAATGTTATTAACTCGCTTTGTGAAAACCTTGATTAAGTAATTGTAAATTACTTAACATTATCAACCCTACTTAGTGTCATCTATATTTAAGTAATCTTTAAATTACTTAAATGCTATCAACTTGGTTACAAATAAAACTTTGTAATGTCAACTGAGAATTTACTATGTTAAAAAAAATTACTTGTCTTACGTGATGAATTGAAAGTCGTCATACTTGCCAATTCTGAAACTTAATTGTGAAAGAATACCGAAATCAATAATAGCATGAATTAACTAAAGTCTATTCTAAAACTTAATAAAGATTGAGCTAAATCTTGCTGCTACTTAATTGATTATGTATTTCAGTTCGTCTAATTATTAGTTGGGTAATAGCACATTAGCATAAGATTAGAGGAAATCTAACTTTCTATCATTTCAATATTTACAAACACTCCTATTTATATAAAATAATTTGCATAAAAAGATAAAACTAATATATTATACATATCTAATAAATCAAATATATTTAATATATTTGCTATATCTAAGATTGTTGAACAAAATTGAGAGTTTAGATAGGTACTTAAATAATAAAGGTAAAACTTGGTTAAATTATATTAAAATCTTATTACAAAATTTGCAAAATTCAGAAAAAAGTAAAACTATATCAAAGTTTATAAAAATGGTAAAACTAAGTTAATTATTTAGTAAAATTTAGTAAAACTAAATGTTTAGATATTTAATCAAATGCAAAATGAATTTAAATAAATAAAGCAATCTTAATTGTAATACATAATAAGTTATTTTTAAAGTTAATTATAAATAAAATTTGAACAGTTTGATTCAGTACTAATTTAATCCAAATCCGAAATCTTGAATAATTTGATTTAAACTAAAACTTTTAGATTAATCTAAAAATTTCAGGTTATTAAATTTAATAAAGTTGCTTCTGATAGTTCAGATGTAACTTTATTGATAATTTTTCTAAAAAATGTAGAACTGACAGTTTAGTTGCAACTTTTTATTATATTTTATATAATAAATCTACTAATAATAATTTAAAATGACTTTTATTATTATTTTTTCTAATTAAAATTACTTCTGATAATTTAGAATCAATTTTATTATTTTTATTTTTTAAATAAAAATTATATTCAAATATTTATGACCATATTAGTATTTTTTCTAATAAAAGTTACTTATAATAATTCAAATATAACTTAATTAGTAATTTTTTCTAATAAAAGTTTCTTTGATAGTTTAAATGTGAATTTTTATTATTATTCCAACAGTCTAAATGCAATTTTATTATTATTTTATAAAATTTGATAAATTTTCTTATAATTTAATTTATTATGATTGATTAATTTTATTATAAATTATTATTAAAATTAAAATTCATGACTCAAAATTATTTTTTATAAAAAATAATCATAACTTTACAATATTTAAGCTTTTTCTATAAATATTAATATATATTTATTTTGCTTATTTTCATTAACTAAAGTAATCAAATTATATTTTGAAATATAGTTATATCTAATATATATATCAATTGGTAATATTCTCAATAGTAGAAAATATCAAAATATGTCTTAGTATTATCACAAAAAATTTAAAGCTTTATAACCATTTAAGCAAATCTTATGAAAATTAATATAAATGAATTTCTCTGTCAGTTAAACACCTTTACATAAGCTTATTTCTTTGATCATATTATTTTAATTTCATCTTGAAAAATATAAATAGATCAAAATTATTATAAAAAGCTTTATAATCATTTAAACCAGCTCATTAAAATTTTTGTCTGTTTGGTTAGTCTAAAATACTAAACTATGTTGTAAAATAATCTTATTATATTTATTTTTAAATATAATAAATTATTATAAAAACAACTAGAATCACCAAAGTTAATAAAAGAAGAAAAGATGAGTATTATAATTAAGCTTAGTAAGCACTTAATACTAAATGATACTCAATTGATTTAGTATAAAAAATGATCGTCATACTACTTAACTTTTTAGGAAATTCCACTATGATGGTCCGATCACATGATTAATTATTATAGTCGCACAGTTTTGTTGCACAATTATTATCGTTATATTTACGCGACATATTTTTTATTTTCCTTATTTACTAACAACTAGCATAACATACGTTAACATGCCAACCGAAGAATCGGTTCTCAATTCATTTTTGCTCAATAGTGAACTTGCAGATAACTTGACACTCAAACAATTCATTAACCTTTTCCCTACAGCATACAGGTAAGTAAATAAAGTCCAAATATTTAGTAAAAAATTAATTAAACCGATTAATAAAGAAAATTATTTTTATTAATCATATTTATAGAAAAGAATCTCTTATCAAAACTTTATATAGAGAATTTCAATTGGAACGTAATAGAATTAGAGAAACCATAAAAGAAAATATAGTTGAAGAGTGTAAAAAGCCTGAACAATGGGGTAATCTTGATAATGGTATCATGGAAATTGATGACGATGATGATATGGATGATCATGATGAGGTAGAGTAGCTTTAAATTTTCGACTTTATGATTTAGAAGATTCATAATATTTTTTTTTTGTTATTGATATAAAAAAAGGTTGATGATAATCGGATAACATTGGAACAAGCTATTGAAACTTTGACTGTAGCAGAGAAACGAATGTCACGTGAAATCAATAAAATGGATGAAGATTGTAAAAGATTCTTTGAGAAAATCGAAAAGTATTTATATTATATGTTCATTTATTTGAATATTAATGAATCTTTTAATACAACTTATATTGAAATGCCTTTGATAACTAATAAACAGTATCAACAATGAGTTGAATGATGTGGTATATGGTAGAATTCCAAAAGGAGGTTTTGGTCAAGAAGATGATATTGAGAGATTGAAGGTAACTTGATGTTTGCTTTTGTTGTCGGTGATTTATTTCAACAAATATGATGTTAATCCTTATTTTTCTCCTTTTGTATTTATCAAGTTATTAACGATATCATGTGATGAGGTTCTAATTTCTTCAAAAAATCGATAAATTTAGTTTGTTAATTTTATTCTTCCTTTTTCAAATTAGGAATTATTAGAATTTCTTTAGTTATATAATTTAAATATCTATTTCTACAAAACATCCGTGAGTTCATATATTACTTTGATAAAGTAACATCTTATTGCATCTTATTGTAAAAAGTAACAAATAAAAATAACAATAATTACATTTTTTTAAGAAAATACAAATACTGGTAAATTCTACCAAATCTGCTTATATTATCTTGGGTTAGGTTAGTTTTAGGGTTAGGGTTAGGATTACATGATGCTAAATGCATTAGCTTAAATAAAAGTTAACCCACGCCTTTGGAGCGTCAATGACAAATAAAACCCCTTACATAGTAAAAATGAACGTGGGAGCGGTAGCATCTTATATAGGATCACAGAAAAAGTACAAAATAAGAACTAACGTTTCTAGCAGTCGGATAAGAATAAATTAATATCGACTCGTAAATTTTCTTTATCACTTTGTAAAAAGATCGTGTCCTGTGAAATGTAATCTGGAATAAATTTAACAACCTTCTTCTATAAAGAACTGGTTAATATAAAGTTTCACATTTATTAATTTGTAAATGTTTCAATAACTCTAAAATACTTGAAGAAAACTGACAATGTTATAATAATACATATACATGGCGTATTCATATTAAAATAAGTGTAATAATCTATTTCCTGTAAAAACAATTTGAGAATGCGTTTAAATTGAAGCAGTAATAAATTGTCTATTTCCTCTATCCCTCATGGGGACCAAGCGATATTGGAACATTATCTATTTTCGGGATTATAAATTTATTTGTAAGAATTCATGGCTTGAAGGTTAAAATTTCCGTTCGAATTAATATCTAACCGTTATATTATACCCTAGCAAACCTCCCACATAACAATTTTGACAACACTAAAAATTTCAAGTATGATTTGAATTTGTTTATTATAAAAAATATACAATTTTTTGATTCTTTCCTTCGCGAATTGCCCTTTCACCCTTATTAATTTTCGTTGAAATTGCGCTATTGAATCATTTCTTTAAAACTACTCTTAGATTTCGTTTGTTTAAGCATTTTTTCATTATTCTTATTTTCTTGTTGAGAAGCTATTACAGGTTCCGGTGCAACTTTTCCATCTAATGACTTACTTCCACGATCATGGTGATGTTCGTGTTTAAATTGCAAAGGGTGAGACTTCGCGTTTTTACTGGCATCAGTAACACCAAAATTATCATCATCATCATTTTGGTTTTGAGCATAGAAATTATCTTTATCACGAAAAAATTGTATGGCTTGATATAATCTACCGATTATATTTATGGTAAGCGTTATACAAGACGAGATGAGTGATAACAAAGGTATTAAATTATAATAGACAACATTTCGGTAATATAAAATCTAAAATATATTCGAAGGGTAAAAAAAAAATAAATAAATAAATAAATAAAAAATAAATTTATGTTAAAGAGAGAGACAATATTATTATATTACTTACTTGAACCGTTACTTGAGGTATATCTTCAAAGACAATATCTAAACAAGCAGCCCAAAAAATCATTTTTATAGCATCATTACTAAATTTAGCTTTAAAAATGTTGAGATCTGCGATATTACTTTGTAAAATATTTAATGCTTCAATATCGGTACCTGCTAACAAAGTAAAAACCGATACAATTTTCATATTCGTATTTGACCAATTTTTAAATTTCTTATTTTTCAAATTTTCTTCTGTTATAATATAAAATGCCAACATGGTATTTAATGTTGTCGGTATTATTAATATTATAATACTTTTAAAATCGTGTGGAGAAATGATGTTAATAATTCAATATAAAAAATAAAAATATAAAAACATTTATAAGTAAGGTCTTTTACCTTGGAACAAAGAGCCATTCTACATCTCGAGCACTTTTAGATATGAAAAGAATATCCAATAAAAAATCAAGTATGATCATTCCAAGTTGTAATATAGCAAGATTATATGCCTAAATGAAAAAAAATATATATAGAATTGAATTAGATATCTCTCTTTTTTTTTATGAAAAGAAAAAAACAAAAAGAACCAAAGATATTACCTTTCGTTTGGAATTATGTGACTTACGTTCTGCTAATAAAAATATTATAACAAAGGCAACAAAAACAATAAGAATTCCTATTAAACTTAACCTATATTCTTCCCAATAATTGGCTATTTGAACAAAATTTATCAGCAGAGAATTTGTGATCTAAAATTACCAAAAAAAAAAAAATGCGTCGTAAAGAAAAATTATTTTTACTTACGAGACGTCACATAACCATAATTTTCATCCAAGTACTTGGAATTGTTATCTTGAGCAAGCGAAGTAATACCTTTATTTTTAATCAAAGTTTTTAAATCTCCAACAGCCGAAGGAACAGTTCTCTCATTATTATCGTCAGTAGTTTTAATATCAATAGATAAAAGCATTTGTCTTTGTGGTGAAACCGTGACGTCAATTTGACTACGTTTATTGGAGCTCACGCGATCCCTACTGATCAGTATAGCATCAGCTAATTCTTCTTGTAATTTATCAATAAATTTAGCTTTATCATCATCACCAAGTTTTTCAAAGAGATCAGTACCTTCAGTATTTAATCTCACCCTTCCATTAACTGTATTACTTTTTTTTTCTTCCATTGGTTCAATTTGGAAGAACCAAAGACCGTGTCTCACTCCATTTAATGGTTCGTTAAAATCTTTACTTTTAACAAAATTATTATCCACTTCAATAGTATAATTACCGGGACGATTGAACGTAGATTCAATGACATTTATCTTTACACTATAATCATCATCAAGTGAAACAAAATCTTCATTAAGTCCAACTGTTCTTTGTCTTAATAACCTTTTACCAGATTCTTCCAATTTATATATTGTAATATTTCCCGACGATAATGTGATAGGATCAAAGAAATTGATTTGAACAAGGTTTTGAGTTGGTTTGATCGTGTCGGATATTTGTGGAACCGTTGAATCGACTTTGAAATTTTCGTATCCGTGATCTTTTAGTGAAAATGATCGTGTATCGCAGTAAAGTATATGTTTACACGTGACTTAATTCGTTTTAGCGACGACACAAGAAAAAAGTTGATGACGTACCACGATCGGATTCGAATTTACTGAGGTCAACGCACCTTAAAGACCAAACACCAATGTTTTCTTTTTCAGCATAAACGAAAGTGTTGTTCTTTAAAATAGTGGAAACCCCGAATGAATTTGTTTGAACAGGTTCCTCGGGTAAATCCCAAACGTAAACGTTGCCATACTCATCATATAAATATCCGTATAAAAAGGTAGAGCTACCTTGTTTCGTGAAACCCCTCATAAGATAACCACCATAAGGCAAAAGTGTAATGTGCCACTCTTGAATGATTACATCTTGAGGAGTGATATTATTAATCGTATCAAATCCAGTTACCGTACCCGAAGATAAAAAATTGATTCTAACGTAATATCTTTCTCCTACTGCAGTAATATTTACGGTGAGTAAACATATATGACCAACGCCAACAAATGCAATGTCACAACTTAATGCAGTAAAAATTAGGGATCTTAATTGCGTTTGATATAGTACAACAGAATGCGGCGAATTCGTTTGTCCATAAGATAAAAATACGGCATACATCTCTCCATATGCTTTAAATGGATCATTTGTTGTCGTAACAGAATCAGATGTATTGGCATATATTATGGCATAACCCTCATCAATAGTTGATAAAGCATCGATCTGAGCGGAGGCAAAACTGATTGGGATAAAGTCTTGGGATATTTTTGTTAATATTCCCGATTCATCCAATTGAAATTGTTGCCACGTAAGGTTAGTTGAATATCTTTGTGGAGCATAACGAAGAAATCCTTTAGAAGGATTTATATTAACTTTCAAAAAAGCGTAATTTGGTCTCCAAACGCCTGTATCAGGATGAATATACGCCAATGAAAGATAAGTGTTACTATAAACTTTTCCTGTAAGATCCATAATCATTGCCCATTCTTCATAAGTTTCTTGCACAGTTTCATCCGTTGCATTTGAATATGTTACTAATAAATATCCATCTGTTAAGGCGAAAAACTGGATCGGAATTTGTAACGTTCCTAATTCTTCAAATGGAAATATACAGTAATTCATTTCTATTAAACCTAAATCAACGTTTATTTCTGATAAACTTCCATTTGGATAAATTGTACGTAATGATAAAAGTGGATCTGAACATACAAAGTTTGAACCAAGGTTGAGATATTTTTCTTTTGATAATTGTGTTGCCGTATCATTTCTTCGAAATGTTCGTAAAACAACGGTGCCATCAGCATAGTTTACCATTTTGTTCACCCTTGGTTCTGTTGGGGATAATAATGGATTTTCACTTTCAAAATGAGTAAAGTTATAGATAGCTGATTGTGTGGGTGATAAAAATATCAAGAACAACACCGGAATGATCATTAAGATGAATGTGGTCATCCTCCTTTTCATTTTTTTTTTTGTTTTGTTTTATTTCGTTTTCTTTTTTTTTTTTGTTCTCCTTTTTAATCTTTATTATACAATTTTTTTTTTTTGGTAAGGAATATAAGCCATGTTCTTACTTCATTAACTCACTCTTTTATAATTCGGGTGTGAAACCCATCCTGGCTTATCTCGTTCGATGTGGCTTTTGCTTTTTAATTTACCGAGATCGATCAAAAAAATAATCGAATCAAATTTTTTATTCTACTCGAATTTTATTACCTCGAGTATGGAAGCTTAGCCATGTACAAGTTTTCCTTTAATTTTGTTGATGAAAATAACGCACGTGCGTAACGAAATGAATTTTGATCATTTTTAGTGGCTACCCGAAACTTTTCAAATTAATCAAAAGTGTGAATTTTGCTTTCCTTCAAATTGAAAATGAGCGTGATGTGAACCAAGGAAAAAAAATGAGAGGCGTATTTGCTTTAAAATTTGTTCAAAGTGAGCAAAATAAAACCGTCAACGCACACTAATTGTGGAGAAATCCCCAAACGGGAAATAAGCAAAACAGAACTTTATAAACAACAAACATAAAACCTTCTTAATTTAGAATAATGATACATACAAAGCAACGTTATCTTGTTGAGATTAACATTTGCGATTAAAGTGAATCTGCTTGTCGATAAAAAGTCAATAATCGTTTTCTTAGAATTTATGTATTAAATCATTATTATGTAAGAAACTAAAATGGATAAGATCATAAGTGCATAAATAGAATTTATCAATCAACAAAACTCTATAATCTAATCTTTAGGGTTCTGAACTTTAAAACGGTTATCAATTTAGGAATTTTAAACTATAATAAATGATATTATGATAATAGGCATTTACATGTCATAATCTTGAGATTGATTTATTCTTGAAGTGAACCTGCGTGTAACTTGCAATTCCTTCCAAATCCGGTAAATTACAGGTTAAAACCCCAATAAACATTCGATTCCTATTGTGAAACTACGACAAAAGTTGTCAATGAATGATTTCCGAGAGTTGAAAATTTTGTTGGAAGAGAAATTTTGACTTTTAAAAGCATCTCTTTCATCAAACATGATTTTTTAGCAATCTAAATATTTTTATTTCGTCGATATAAAATGTATTTTGTATGTGGTAAGTAAAGAACTTGTTGAGAAAATCTAACGAATGGTAAAAAGAAATTTCAACAAAGTAACGGATTGGCACAGGGTTACAGAATTAACAAAAAAAGAAATTATTTAATGTATTTCATTAATGCATGCATAGACATGCTTTATATCGTGACGCCGTTGATTAGAACATTTGAATAATGTTAGAATAATGACATTATTAATTAAGTTATACAATATAATAGTGCATTCGACACAAATTACTCCAACAATGAGATACAATATATCTTGCATTCCCAGCCTTTTGACATGTGCTAAGGTTTTAACCGACCAAAAATTATTAAAGACGAGAATCAAGACAAGCACCGAGTCTGCGGTGCTCATGTGGTGGGCAGTAAAAGAGTAAAACCTCATGTCAAGAAGGAAAACCGATTAATGTTGGTTGTAATTATCCCGCTTTTTTTTTTTTTTTTTTTTTTTGGCGGGAAACTCCAATCACGGGACTGTGGAAATTTTGCAGGGCGGTTACTTTAATTGGTGAACCATTTTTCATGAAACCTGGGGGGCAAAAAGTTTGCAGCCTCCTCCTATGAGAATCATCTCGGTTAAACTTTAAAAAAAAATTACCATCCATAAAAATAAAAATTTAATAAATCAAAAAATGTTTTTGGTTAGCAAAATTTTCACACTTGCATAAATGTGCAGTTGACTGGAATTATTGTAACCTTATATCGTATGATGTATTTCCCCCATCATAAATGAATGAATTTTTTTTTTTTTTTTTTAAAAAAAAAAAAAATATTGAAAAAAAAAAAAAAAACACGGAGGTATGAAATAATTTTTCTCCGCTATGCCATTGACTAAAAAAAGAATTTATTTGTACTCCGCTTTTTTTTTTTTCTCCACTTTTTTCATTCTAGATTTGGCTTCAGCAGATTAAAGTTGTAATACCAACAATATAAACATCAAAAAGAAGACAATGTAATGTCACAATGGGAAATAATATGTGGAATAAAGTTTTTCTGAGTTTAACATTAAAGTAAAATTAAGATTAAATATTTTTTTTTTTTTAAAAATGAAAAAAAAAAAAAAAAAAATGAAAAAAAAAATTTTATGAAAAAAAAAAAATTACATTTGGAACCTTCCATAAAGTATTAGATTTTCAATCTACAAAAAGCCATCGTATGAACCTTAAATTTACAACCTATCACTAATTTGAAAATTCTAAATTAAAATGCACCTGAATGTCAATCAAAATACCAAATATGTTGTGTAGAAATCTTGTGCAGGTAAATCGTTAATTGTAAATCTAAACAGTTTTTTTTTTTCAGAATTTTTTTTTTTTCGATCTTTTGTTCCAATAATTTTTTTTCTTGTGTAATTTACATCAATTTGCCATGTTTTGAGTACTGAATATCGATATCAAAGGAACTTTATTTATTTTATTTTTTTGCGAGGGATTGTACTTTTTTTACCTTTGGGATCGGTTAAATCCGAATATTGTTCTTTTGATGGATTTTTTATATTTAGCCAAGAAAAACATGATATATGTGATATAATGGAACCCGTGAGAAGAATTACGTAATCAACCGTGAGATATTTTGATAAATCACCTCAACAGTTTATAGACGGGGTTTTAAATTTTTTTTTTACTTGAATTTGATGTGGGATCCCCATAAAAATATTTTTTGGAAAGCTTGGGGTAAAAAAAAAATGACGCCAACGTACAAGTCTAATTTTTAATTAATTTGATTTGGCATAATCAGGCAACGTAAAAGTGACAACCCACCTCACGTGCACATAACCTTTCGCACCCTATAGAAAAAAAAAATTTATTTCCCTCGCAGTTATTGTTAAGAGAATGATGTTGAATGTGATTGTCGTTTTAATTGTTTACTTGTAAATATTTTTTTTCAATTGTAATGAAATGAAATTATGTAATGTTTATTGTAAGTTTCATGAATAAAAGTTCCACAGATCAATGCGGTAATACTCCACATGGGCATATCCAACTGGTTTTTTGTCTTTAAAGCCCCAAGCCGTTAACTGCAAAAGCACAAGTTTTAATTCCTTCAATATAATTTCATGGCAAACACGACTTCCTGATATTGTCACACCACATATGGTGTAACCCTGTGTCAATTATAAATTTAGAATTTTTCAGGCACAATTTGCAGAAAGTTTTCTCTTAAACGCAACTCCTCTCCTAACTTTTTTTAAAATAATTTTTTTTTTATTTCCAAATTTTTTTAAATGTCGAAGTCCTTTGGTTGCGAAGAGACGTCATCCTCACATAAAGCAAATATTTCATTAGTCGATCGTAATATCTTTGGTTCTCTCAACATGACTCAACATGCTTGGACCATCGCGGACCTGCCTCATCGTAGTTGGAAATTAAAGTATTTACCAGATGAATTTCGAGCAGAAGATATAAAGGATGAGAGTCATCCTTACTTCAGTTTATTGCAAGTTTTCGACACATTACGGGATACGAGTTATACAACGGATGATATTCCGGTGCTTTCCATATTGGAACCCAAATTGAAACAGATCGGCAAAATCATTGATAAACTGATCGACTTGCCCGGTCCTTATGCAAAGGGCATTTTCGATTTCACTGCCTTGTCGGCTTACGTTCACACCATAAATGACATATGGTCAAAGAAAAATCAATTATATCTTACTCCGATATGGAGGGAACCTTTAGGGGGTGCCATAAGTGATAGTTTTGATGGCGAAATAATTGAAATTAATTTTCTCACAACGTTGCTTCAGACGAGTATAATATTGGATTGGTGGCTTGGAAAACCTCAATTCGATTTTTGGATCGGCATCATTGACCTAAATTTCGACACATTTCCAACTCAATTAGAAGCCTACGTTCATTGGTGTAAGTTTCTCTTTTTTTTTTTTATTATTATTATGATTCGTCTGATTATTTACAAAATATTTACTTATTTTTTTTTTTGATTCTTGTTTAAATCCCGTTTTTTTTTCTATATTATTTTTTTTAAAAACAGACAACGCGGTATTTTTTCCCGATTATAGTGGGGCAAAACGCACCCAACCAAAGGAAATCGAAAAGAAGGACAATTCAATGTCGGTCGATAATGAACTCCACAGTGAAAGCAGCAGTGACAGTGAGGAGGAAATAGATATTATGAACCACATCGATAAAGAAAAGGAACAACCCAAAAAAATGTTTATGCGAATCCCTCATGTTACTTCCTCTAGTGACGAATGGAGTGGTTCGGATGATTTCTAAGTTTCACAAAAAAAAAATAATATTTATCCTTAAAGAAAAAATGTTGTGGTCAGGTTATACATAAGAACTTTTTTTCTTTTTTGTAACAAATTAACATTCAAAAAGATGGGAGATTGGAGGATTTTATGTAATATGGTCACGTGTGGTCCATTGTAAAAATTTTTAAAAAACGCATTCTGATTCCGTGAATTATCTCATTCATCAAAATGCAATCATTGCATACAAAAAAACATCTAGTTTATCATTAAAAAAAAAAATTAAATAAATAATATAAAAAAATAATATAAAATAAAAAATTTTCTTTCTTTACAACTCATTCATTCCCTTAACAAACGATATTTAAAAGTAATACAAAAATTATTAAAAAAGTAGATCTATTTTTTTTTTACGTACAATATTTGATTAAAATCAAAAAGATTAAAAAAAAAAAACTTGATATAATTTTTTTGGGCAAGATTTGAAAAAAAAAAAAATTTTAATCATGAAAGACAAATGATAAATAACACTTGTAAATCGTTCCATTCCACAATTTAACGTATTTACTATTGTTATCAATTTAAATTGATGTTATTTATTATTTATCTATTTAAAATCAATAAATATATATAAATATATATTTGATTAATAACTATACCAAACGTTTCACAAATGTCCCTAGCCAAGAAAACAATGCGCCAATTGAGACATGCCAATTTTTTTTTTCTTTCTAAGGAAATCTTTTTTTTAAAGTGATGCGCAAGAAAGTTGTACACATACAAGTACAAGAAAAAAAAAAAAAGTCTCATCTAATTAAAAAAAAAAAAAAAAAAAAAAAAAAAAAAAATGAAAAAAAAATAAATTTTTAATAAATAAAAAATTTATTTTAATTTTTATAAACCTGCAAAAATAATAAAGAAAAAAAAATAAAACAGATTAATCACAAATTATGTAATACAAGAAAAAAAAAAAATAAATAAAAAAAAATTTATCTTTTATCATCCAGATCCATAATACAGTTTACAACATATTTTTAATGCAACACGAATAACTTAATTTAGCAAACATATATTTCGTTTTCATGTGAGAATAAGTGATAATGAGAGAAGGATTGTTATTTACTTAATTTAAAAAATCCACTAGATTAATTTAGGCTTAAATTTATTTTTATGCGATTATTAACCGGATTTTTTTTTTTAAAAAAAAAACCGTCGGAAATACACGGATTAGATAATATATTACGCAAAACAAAAAACGAGTTTCCCTTCTCGATATTAATCTTTTGTCATTGTTTTTTTTACTATCGAATAGGAAAAGACTCCTATCGTGAATCTTTGTAATTACGCGTGATGTTTGATACTTTTACAATCTGGAAATAGGCTGACTTAACGCGACGAAATTTCTCATGTATTTTGTTCTATTTGAATAGTTTTGCGAAAGAAAATTAAATAATTTAATAATGTAATCACGATACTCCACCATTATATATCATTTTTTGAATAATTACTAGAGTTAGTTTCAATAATATTTTTTCGTATCCTAAGTACTTTAACTGTCTTTCAAGGACAAAAAAAAAGGTCCAAAGAAAAAATAAAGGGAATAGACAAATTATGTAAGAGCTATTATTCTTAATCCTCCGATTCTTGTTAACTTAACGGGTTCGTTTTGAAAACGTCACAATCTTACTTTATAATGAATGAAACGGGCCTGAAATTTAAAGTAATTTAAGCGTGGATTTTAGTTAGAATTACGGTTGAGAATTTTGTGTTAACATGTAAAAACATTGATTGGAAGATGTGTTAAAAATTCTGACTCGTATCAAAACTCCTACTTCCGAGAGGTTTGAATATAAATTTTTTTTATTGTAATTGTAAGAAAAAAAGCAATTAAAAGAATTCGTGCCGAGAATTCATCAGTGAATGTCCATATCTCTCTCTTATCACAGAACAAAAAATAAATCAAAAAAAATAAAAAAAAGATTACATCAATAGGTAAATCTAATGAGGACTTCATAATATTTAATAACCCATTCTGCTTGTAATAAATTGCTTACCTTCCTCAGGGAATATTTATTGTACTGAACAAAAGGTATTATCATCTTTACGTTCTTTAATGATTTCTTTTTCACCACTTCATTCATAATTATATTGCTTTATTCTAACCATTTATGGCTAACGTTCAACAAGCGATGTTAATTGTGCCATATTCTAGGTGGCGACGATTATCTGCGCGTAATATAAGAATTGCTATTAAAAGTTCATAGTTGTTGAACCTAACAATACTTTCCTTTCGCGAAATAAGCAACCGTTCCCAGTAAACATCCTTCAGGTTAGTAAAGTATGTGCAAACATGAACATACCGTTAACGTAAAAGCAGAAGTTATATAAGTTTTGTAAGTTGAATGTGATAAAATAGCTATAAGAACATTTAAAGCTAGTAAAATACCGTCTGCTGATTTCTTCATCTTACCCTTTCAAATAGAGATCAGATAAATTTTCTTAATACTCAATTGACAAATCTTCAGGATTTGGTAGTTCCCGGCTTGTGTTTGAAGATAATAATTATAGAATGATTATAATGTTTTCTTTCGGATCGGAAGGATGAAATGGAGGAAGAGTGTCATAAAAATTATCTAATGGAGTTTAATAATTTTCATCTGCATGAAATTTGCTTAGAGTTCGAATTTTGACCACGTGTTGATATTTGCACCAGTATTATCTGAGCACTTGGATGACCCGACATTTATGAATTACAAACGTCACTTGCCATCGGATCCTATACTTTTCTTCCTATTCACTACCTAATCCATCAACTGCTGTCTTTGGTGCAGGTAATTTCAAAAAATCCTTGTAAATATCATGAGAGATGACGTTGTTGTTAAGTGGATTTTCGATTAGTCATGAGCCTAGTAAGTTTTATTAAATACTTTATTTTCCCTAATCGCATTGTAACCTCTTTTTTATTTGGATCCAAGGTATTAGAATCATAATTTCCCAGCATCAAAGTGAACTTTCAGCTTTTCGTAGCTGGCAATGCAGCGTTGGTCGAGATTGGATTTGGTGAAGTTGCCAGTATACAATCGGATTTCTCGTAGTGGCCTACTTATTATTTGAATTATGAATATGTAGCAATTGCTATTTCTAGAAAAGTCTAACCATTTTAGATGCTGAAAAGTTATTAATAACTCGTATTAAAAAACAATACTATAAAAGTTTAATTGGTGAAATTAAATTATGTCAGCAAAAAAAAAAAAATCCTGTTTCAAAATTCCCGGATAATTGGGTTTCTAACAATATAAAATCATTTTAAGACTATCTTAAATTACTTTCATTTCTACCTTTTTTAAAAAAATTGATTGTAAAATAATCTTAAAATTTATTTTGAATCCTGCAAGCTAAGAACATATAGGAAAACTTCTCGACCATTTCATTAGATGTATTTAATTTTGGCATCCCTTTATTTCATCCTTCTCCGATACGTTCGTCTTCATTGGATTATCTATTTACCCAATAAACGTACAATTTAATTATAATAAATCATGTCAAACAATATGATGAAGTGTTTCAAGATTCACCGTAAAATTGGTGGTTGCGGAGCCGCCAATCGAACATAATCGGTCTCACATTGGGCCCGATCGGGATCGGAATAAATTACATGTCATGCATTCTTTAATGTAATGCACCCTTTGGATATTCATTCTTAAACCTTGTTGCATCCTTTAACGCTGCATTCTTTATTTGATTAAAACGTCTATATGAATGCAAATGGTAAGAAAAGAGATTCTTGTGCTTGTGATTTGCATTCCATTGCGTGCCATAATCTAATTCGTTATTTGATGATTAAAAAAAAAGCCTTTCTGCTTCTATAAATCCATTTTGGTTAAGCTTTTGTAGTGGACTGATTATTGAACCGTTAAGTGGTCGAATCATGTTGCACTTGCATTTGAAAATTGAAATTTTATAAACAACTTTTTGAACTACAAAAAAAATACAAAAGCATGCGAACTTTTTTATGGGTTTATTATAAAGTCAAATTTCACGTTGTTTAGGAAGTAAATAAAAAAAACCCCATTTATATGCAATAATATTTACAATATTTATGCTTGCATTTTCCAATCGCAAGAAATTTAAAGTTTATATTGATGTCAGTCAAAGAATGAGATTTGCTCACAATTGTCTTAAATTTTTTTCTCACTCTCTTTTTTTTCTTTTAATATTGCACTTTTACATGCTTTGTTTTGTTTTGTTTATATTTTTTTTTTTTTTTAAAAAAAAATTATTATTTCACGACAGTTAAACAAATTTGTCATTTCATTTATAAAATGCTTTTAATAACAAACGAGTCGATCTTTGAGTTTCGAATTTATCCATTTTTAGTCAAAACCGAGATTAGTCACCCCTTGTGAACCACTGAAATCCAGAAAATATTTTAAATCCCAAATGGATAATTCTTTTTAAATACAAAAATGAATCTTCTATAAAGGAGATCCTCTCCATAAATCATAATATATATATATATATATATTTGGTTCGCCAACCCACAAAATTGCTACTTTACATTATAACGACATCATAATAAAGCCAAAACTTCTTTTCCTTGTTATAAAAGAAAGAAAGACGGTAATTTATTATTTTAAATGAAACAGCTGTTGTGTGCAAATCAAGAACCTTTTTATATAAATACCACAAATCCTTTCTTAAACAAAAATAAAAATAAAAATAAAACGAATAAATATTAAATAAAATTTTCTCAAACATTATTTTGTTAATCAAATAGTATTTCTTATTAAATAACATGGATCAAAAAAACGGAATGCATCAAAACGTTAAAGCTTTATTATACTTTGCCGTTATGTCGGTTTTCCTAAGAGCATCGCTGGCTGGACCCACAAACATTAACTTGAATTCACAACATAATATAAATTACGAAACACTTGTTGGCGAACAATTAACTACCACATCAAAATCATCTTTCATACCAAGTCTTGAACTGGCCGAAATCGGTGTAGAATTTGATCGAGTCGCTGGACTTGTATCGATGGATAATAGCGTCTTTGGTGTAATATTGGCAGCCCTTCTAAATGGATTATAAAAGGATTTTTATTCTTTCTAATCATTAAAGATCGCTTTACAAGCTATATGGTGTTTCCCTGGAGGAAACCCACAAAAGTTTTTCATCACACGACAATTAATTAAAACTCGTTTTTCGCTTTAATAATAATTACATACGGAGGTTTTTTTTTGCTTTCTCGTAATTTCAAAAATCATTACATTACTTTTTCTCGGTCTTGTATTCTCATTTAATAATTTACTTGTACAGAAAATATATTATTTGAAATTTTGAAATTTTCCCCTTTTAATAAAATTTGATTTATTAATATTCATATATTCATATAAATCAATTGATGTTTAAACTACTGCAACTTTAATACTTCATTAATCTTTATTCTCAGCATTGCTCTATAAAGGATGTGTTGTTTCTTTCCAAAATCCTTTAATGAAATAAACATATTTTACATGAATACCATGCTTGACCAATCCATTGTCTGCGCCATTGATGAATGTATTACAAAATGTTAAATATAATTTGTAAATGTGAAACAGGATAATATTTAATTGCACTTTTGAGTGTTTAGGAGAGTTTGGGTTTTAGGCGAAACTAGTAAAGGAATTCGTCAATGGGAAGGCTTTAGGCAGGGTTTTACATTGATTTTGTTCTTGAAAACAAATTAATTACTTTTATGAGAGTAATATGACAGCCCATTCGGCAGAAACAGGAGGGAGTGTGTCATCATTTTCAGCCACAACACATTCAGGAGAGATCTTTGTTTAAAACATCTTTAATGGTTTTTTATTGACATATATAATTTTATTACTTTAATAGTAAATTCTAAATTTACAATCAATTAGTTTGAAAACACTTGCGAGGCGGATGTGTAATATATTTTAATTTTTTTTAGAAACTATTATTCTCATATTAATTAATAATTAATAATTATTTTAAATATATAGATAATTAATTTATTCTTTGTTGTAATTTTAGAAAGATCCGAACAGATAATCCGATTAATCCGAAATTAAATCAATAAATATGCCTCCTGACTTTAATTAGTTTTCTTAATGAAAGTCACCTATAAACCTTCAAAAATTTCGGTTCGATCCGAAAAAAAAATCAGAACCGATACAAAACTTTCGGATTATTTTTTTTTTACAATCCGAACTGAACCGAACCGAAAAAAAAATTCGATCCGTTTAGCATTTTATTTATATTAAGTGATAGGACAAAATAAATTAAAAATTTTAGTATTCGAATTTTAAATAATGTATTAATTATTTTAAATAGAAACGGGAAAATCAAATTTACTTTTATATCTTTCTATTGCAATGATCCCATTTTATGTTTTAATGTTTCTTAGATATTTAGATTTTCCACAGTAATATAATTTAAACTAATATTTTTTATTATGTATATATATTTTAAATTTAGTGCATTTCTTGAAACGTGAGTAGCAAATTTGTAGTATTAGCAATAAAGTATCATAATATATCCTCTTTGAATCCTGCAACTTTTATATTACTCTTTACCAAGTGAAATATATCTAAAAAGAAGGAGAGTTATATAGAATGCAAAGTTCTAAATTGATTAAATTTCATTTGTTGAATAGAAAAAATGGAGAGAAATTGAAGTAATAATTTAAGAGAGGTAACATGGATGAAAGGCATTATTTTATACAATATATACTATATGCATTGTATAGAAAATCCATTAAAAAGATGTCATAAATGAGTAAAAGTTATAATTGAAGAGAAAGTAAAAGCCATAAATGAGGAAAATTGATCTTACTAAAACTATCAAGACAATGGCAAAAATTTTATATGAGAGAGAACATTTGAAAAAGAAGGTTTCATATATGCATTTGATGAATTGAAAGATTTACTTTAAGAAATTAAACTGAGCATAAAGGATTTTTTAATCATCTTTATTTAGCAGTTCTGCTATTTAAACGTAATAAGTAAATAATAGATCATATAAAAAGTTTGATAGTTTTTATTAAAGATGGTTCCCATAATTATTTTAAAAATTTTTAACTAGTTGCAACTTAAGTTGCAACACTTTAAGTTGCAATATTTTATGAATTTTTATATTAAAATAAA